TGTAATCATGTCAAATGAAATGTTTTTAATGAAATTTCTGAAGTAAACTCATCTAATTGCATTTAATATAAATTTAAACTATTGTGCATTTTCATTTAAGTGTCTGAAATCATTACATTCAGTTCACACGTAATTATATTCTTTTAAAATAAATTACTTTCATAATAAGTATGCTAAGGTGTACATAAAGACTCCCACATCCATGCACAGAGGGCAGGGGACTGCATTTTTACATGACGTGGTGTCCTGCAAGACTACTGATAGTAAAATATCCACAGAGGATAACCGTCTGTCTAAGTTACCATTGTTTTACTATTGCAAGAAACAAATGAACAAACATAAAGCTGAATTGTAAATGACAGATTGCCAATATTTGTCTTTAAAGTATTAAACATAGAAATATGAAGAAAGATTTAATGTTTCACACTATGTTGTAAACCCTGTATATATACAGTACAGAGCAAACACATCTTGTTGCATCAGCATGAGGATAACAAAGAAGTTGCGCAACTTGCAGACTCGCTGACAAATATTGACTGCTAACAATCTGGTTTATGCATCAATGAATCAACGGAAACTAAACTGATCTGCCTCATAGAACAAAGACAGACGTGACTGGTTGTAATGATGTGCAGTATAACACATACACACAACAGATATATTACACAAAACCTCACAGTCCTCTCATGCTAACTCAAAAGGAGTAACATCATTTTAAGGATGGAGAAACAGATGAAAGTGCAATTTCAGTGAGTGAAAGTGTTACAGAAACAAAGCAAACAGGCACTGAAAACACACACACACACATACAAGTCAAGTCAAGTCAAGTTTATTTGTACAGCGCTTTTCACGATACAAATCATTGCAAAGCAAGTACAATGAATTAATAGTGTTTTCCAAAACTCTTCCTCCCTCTCTGCCTTTGTCAACTCTATCCAATTCATTGGAGGTTTGAAATATATTTAAATAAAATCTGCAGATGCTTTTTTTTTGTTCCATTACACGGAACTCTCTTTAATCTAGCCGCACTCAAAAAGCTATTCAAACATCTTACATAAATTATGCTCTCAGTATTAAAATCAAAGGCCAACACCACCAGTCCCAGGGCGGTGGGAGAAAACTTTTGATGGACAGAAGGAGAGAAAGACAAACTTATGATAAGCATATGTCATACTTTTTTTAAAGCCTCACTTAGCCTAGATTTGTCTGCTATCAGCTCAACATCAAAACAATCTGGTGATTCCAGTCTAGCCTATACTATTGAATAGCAATAATTAATCACACGCTTCAATAGAAGTGTTAGTCATCATTATTTCTGTTCTGAAAGTGTATTGATCAAAGAGCCTAGCAAAATGTACAGTATTCTGGATTCACTAAATGATCTGGTTTAATCAAAAACGAGTTGTGATTACCATTACGCTCAGTTGTATTGGAAAACGTAAGTTTGGCTTTTAGGGTTGTCCACTGACAAAGATTATAATTTTTATTGCTTATGTGATTGATAAGGGCATTTGTAAGGATAAATAGGATGTAATTTTACAGTGTGTTTTTTGTAAAGTTTTGTCTAATGTGTCTCTAAAGTCACTAAAGGGTGAGTGTATTAAGGGTGTTTTTATTACTTCCTCTTTTTAGCTAAGGATATTTATTTGTAGATTTTCAACAAATAAATATGGGGCACATTATCTTACAGACTGTAATATGAAGCATTATCAAGTCAAATTGTCCCAAATCTTAATTCAGATAAAAACACGTTTAGGCCTACAGCTACTCCTATTTTAATATAAATGCAATTAAAACATCTGCATTTATGATTTTTTTTAAAAATGTACGCCTCTTAAATTAACTCATGATACTTTGAATGACTTTTAATGAAACATGATCATATTCCACCACTGTTCAATAGTTTAGGGTCAGTAAGATTTTTTTTTTCTTTTAAGAAATTTAATTTACTTTCATTCAGCAATGATGCATTAAATTGATCAAAAGTGACAGAAAACACATTTATAATGTTACAAAAGATTTCTATTTTAAATAAATGCATGCAGTTCTTTTGAACTTTGTATTCGTCTTGAAGAAAATACATCACGCTTTCCACAAAAATATTAAGCAGCACGGCTGTTATATAAAGATAATAATAACTGATAATAAACAACAAGAAGCATTTCTTGAGCAGCAAGTCTGCATATTTAAATGATTTCTGAAGGATCATGTGACACTGAAGACTGGAGTAATGATGCTGAAAATTCTGCTTTGCGTCACAGGATTAAATTTGAAATTTGAAAACATATCCAAATAGAAAAGAGTTCTTTTAAATTGTAATATTATTTCACAATATTACTGTTTTATCATATTTTTAACCAAGTAAACACAGTGAGCATTAGAGACTTCTTTCAGAAAAAAATATTTAAAAAATTAGAGACTCCAAACTGATGAATGGTAGGGCACAAACAAAGCTTTGAAATAGTGACAACAAACTTAATACAACAAACGATTCCATCTTGAGCTGTGATCTGTATGTCACAATATGTGATTGTTCATTTGCATTGTGATGTGATTCAGTAGTTGACTATCATTGCTCATTTTTACTGTAGTAAACAATCCATAGTATAAAGACAATCAGTTTGTCTGAAGATCTTTAGAAGTTTTAAGCATTTTTTCTTTCTCTTAATGGTAAGATCTCAGTCTCTAGCTCAATGTCCACCTTGTGGAGACCCCTGGAAACACTTAGGATTCATGTGTGAGAATGTTTTGCAATGCACTGCTCCTCATTGCTGCTCATTGTTTGCAGAAGTAGGAAACAGGCTGTCTGTAAAAGTGTATCACCAGCAATAAATAACATCTCAATCTATGTTACAGAAAAGGATGATGTTTCTTTATCACAGTACACTAACCTGTGTACATTTTTTTGCAGTAGATCAAACCTACATCTGCAATAACCACCCCCAACACCAACCCTGCGGCCCCAGCAATGAGTTTATTCCTGTCAAAGTCCTCCAGAGAAGGATCTAAAATAAAAGACATTCTGCCCATTTCAGTGAAGTTTTTATAGTAATTTATCCATAACACTTTAATTCCATCATAACGGATCTCACCCCAGTAATAGATTATGGGTTTATGGGAGCTGGCGTGCTCCACCACATGACACAGGAGATCTTCTCTCCAGGTTTGGGGAAGTATTCCAGGTGGGAGTGGATCTGGTAGTAGCCTACCAGTCTCCATCAGCCAGCTCCTCAGTGGATGTCACATTAGCGTTCATCTTTGTATCATCTCTCATCCACGTCAGGTTGATGGGTTTGGGGTAGAAGTCATAGGCACTGCACACCAGAAGAGCTTTCTCATTCCCTTTTCTGATTCCCTGACTGAACAGATAATGACTTCTGGTTTTACTGCAGAAAGGAAAACATACATGAAACATACACAAATAAGAGGACATGAAATATTGAGAAAAAAAAACTGCTTAAAATATACTAACCCACAGGCCATCCAAAATGTAGATGAGTTTGTTTCTTCGTCAGAACAGATTTGGAGAAATTTAGCATCACATCACCTGCTCACCAATGGATCAAATGGGTGCTTTACAGAATGAGAGTCCAAACAGCTGATAAAAACATCACAATAATCCACAGGTTTGATACACACTACTACAAGACACACTCTTGACTGTATGCAAGAGTCAGTCTGGTGTCTAACCATAGCTTTCTCCAGGTATAGACCAGTAAGTAGACTGTAAAGAGCAGTTATACTGTACTTGGGTTTGCGATGCTTTTGGGAAACGCAGCCGTGATTGACTAACAAGCAGGCCAAAATCCAGTTCCACAGTGGTATGTAAAATAATGAATGTCATAATGGGTAAGGCACAGTCAAAATATAGGTGACAGTGACCTCTGGTGGTTAACTTGTGCAATAGTGATGGGAAGTTCGGATCACTTTACTGACTCTCTAGTTCGATCTCGTTCATCAAAATGAACGAATCTTTAAGTCATTTCGTTCATTGAAGTGGCTTTAAATGTTTTTTTAACAGCCAGAATATCGAATTCTGAATTAAGAAATCATTATAATGCATCCAAAGATAATTTACAGGGGACATAAACAATTACTTCACCTTCCGAGTCGTTCGTTCATTTGTCACATGACAGATGCAATGAACGGATCGTAAAAGAAAAAAGAAGTGTAGGCTAGGCTACTTAGCAAATGTAATTTTTTTAATTCATATTTATGCCCAACAGTTTCACGGTAAAGCTTGTGTTGTCATTTTTATTGTTTAATGTAATCCTTTTCAGATGATATGTAACATCTAAATTCTGAAATATTTCAGTTATCATGAATAAGCCCTTCAACAACCTCAAACTAGAACATGAGATGGGTTCGTATTTATTATTTACATCTAATTCCTAATTCTAAATGTCACAAAAAATTTCCAACATCACAGTAGCATGCAATGTTGCCTTACAATCTTGCAAAATAGTTTTCTTAAATGGAAACATTTTAACTTAAATTTAAGAAAATATTTGTATCCTTTTTCACCTCTTCTAGCATATCTGAATAACGCAAATGTAGCCTAAATGCACTGGTAACCTCCGAGTTGTCTAGCAGTTCTAAAAGATTTGACTTGACATAAATAATATGAATAAACTCACATAGTCTTGGTCATGTCTCTAATTTTATTCAGTCTTGATCTGATTTAGTTCCTGCCTTTTACATAATTTCTCTGTTTTTACAAAATTTCACTCTCAGGACCTGACCTTACCTCACTGATGTTTCCATTCGGATGTCTACTTATCAGCTTAATCTAAACTTTGACAACATTGAGCTGCTTTTTTCACACTTCACAACACTCAAATCTCTCCACACGATTTTCACTACCTACAACTGGGAACTGTGCTGCTCACCTACACAAACCATATAATAATTTTATAGGCCTACATATGTAGTTAGTTTGTCTTAGTAGTAGAAAATGTCTCATATGTACACATTGTATATTCCTTGTGTATCCACAGATGTTCACTCGTTGATGGCATTTGTAACGTATATAGCTGGACAGACACCATTTCCTGAGTTCAGTGCTGTGCTGATGTTAGATGATGTGCAAATAGGATATTATGACTCGGTCACATGGAAACCTTTCTATCGCACTAACAGTACTGATTTGCAGTTCCATGAAGAAGAACAAAAGGATGCTGATATTGTATTTCGCGATATGTATAACATCTTTAAAGACAGAGCATTTTATCTTAAGGAGCAGCAAAATCACACAGATGGTAAGTGCAACCCAAAAGAATTAGGTAACGCTTTAGATTACAACCCGCAATGTACTGCGTAAGTAAACAGAATTTACAGCGTAACTTTTTTTGTAATTACAGTGTACCTATTCAGTACCTCCGTGTAGGTGTAAGGTAACAATATGCGAAGTTTGGGGAATAGAGTAATAATCTGTAAAATTACAAATTATTTCTACTGTAAGTATTTTGAAACTAAGGGGTACATATTCTACTTCGCATATTATTCTCTTATACCTACACGGAGGTACTGAATAGATACACTATAATTACAGAAACGTACACCTTAAATTCAGTATACTTATATAGTTCTTTGCGGGTTGTAATCTAAAGCGTTACCAAGAATTATAACATACAAAAGACATAATAACCAATGTAACTTTTAGGTGTTTATGCAAATCGCATATACAACTTTTGACATAGAAGCAAGAAAGCTACATGTGCTAGAGACAGTAGTAATTATTAAAAAAATAGATTAATAAGTCTTAATATTTGTTTTCCGAAGGTGTACAAGTTCATCAGAGAATTGCTGGATGTGAATTGTTAAACGATGATAAACCAGGTCTACTTCAGAGATGGGATGCTTTAGATGGACAAAATATAGAAGAGTTAATTTTTGACATAGAAAACAACAAAACCCAGACAAAAATGACATGGCGGCCATGGGACCAACATAAATGGATTCGTGTAAAGTATATGTATGAAAATGTTTATCACCCTCTTTGTATGAAAGTTTTGCGGAGGTATTTGTATATGGAAAAGAACAACGTGCTGAGAAAAGGTAAGAGAAATCTGTTTCTCCAGAGGTGGTAAGAGTACTAAAATATTCTACTCAAGTAAAAGTACCATTGCATTAATGAAATTTTACTCAAGTACAAGTAAAAATACCAGTCTAAAAATCTACTCAAGTAAAAGTAAAAAGTAGCTCATTTAAAATGTACTCAGAGTAAAAGTTACACTTTAACAGCGGCAGGGGGGCAAAATAGGATAGGCCTATAAATCTCAAACTAGTTGTTTTTAATTAAAGGAACATCTTTACAAGTTAAACTGCAATAACCAAAAACATGTTGACATTTAAAACATTAAGGGAGGTATGTGAGATTTTAATGCAGACCATCCCACCAAGTAGGCAGAAAAAACAAGTTATATTCTGGCTACCGACAAAACAAGCTAAGAACCGTTTATGACATTTTTATTTGCTTTTGAAGGGTTAGAAACTCAAGACTTCACACTGGTTATTTCAGTAGCATGAAAAACAAAATGAATATTATTATAAATTATACAAAGAAAGCAACAGTAAGGACAGTAAAGTGGTGCATGACTTCAGTCTAATGTGAGCTATGCGCTTTTGCAAAAACTCCCATAATCACTGAAGCAAATAAATCACATTTATTTTGCACTTTGTTGTTTATGATTATGACAGAATTTGCGAATGCACATTCAGAATTCAGTCAGTAAGCGCGCACACTTGAACAACTCCGGCGTTCTCCGCGGTGATGAATCAAAACGCCTCTGATTGGACATTGCATTCATAAACACAACAGAAAGGTGTGTAAATGGCTATAATGCTCAACGCTGCAAAACGCGAGTATAAAGACATCTGATGCAACATGAGCAGATCTACTCTAAAATGTAACACTTTTAATTTATTTCACATTATACTTAAATAGTGACCCCAGTAAGCCTAATAGTTCTTGCTTAATTGTGCAGGGACACTTTTTGCACCTAATCATAAATTGGGCGACATTTTTGCCCCAAGCCCCCGTTCAATTCTGACCCTGGTGCCAACCAACAATATTTTGATATTTTCTTGGATTTTATCGATAACGATAATTAGACAATATTTTGCCGAGAGTGTTATTATGCTGGTATCTTAAAGATTACCATGGACAGCTCACTCTTAACGTTTTTGATATTCTTCATATTCTGTGTGGTGGTCAGTTCACAGCAGTGATAGAAATGAATCTTTTCTAATAAGTTTAAATCGATTTTTACCTTTTATGGGCATTTTTACCTTTATAAAGCCATTTTTTTTCTAAAAGTGTTCATCCTTTGAGCCAAATTCTTACATTTAATCAGTGAATTAGAATAATAAGACATTTTGATTGGACATTGCATTCATAAACACAACAGAAAGGTGTGTAAATGGCTATAATGCTCAACGCTGCAAAACGCGAGTATAAAGACATCTGATGCAACATGAGCAGATGTACTCTAAAATGTAACACTTTTCATTCATTTCGCATTACACTTAAATAGTTCCCTGAAAATAATTGCACACCTTGCGAGAGTGTTATTATGCTGGTATCTTAAAGATTACCATGGACAGCTCACTCTTAACGTTTTTGATATTCTTCATATTCTGTGTGGTGGTCAGTTCACAGCAGTGATAGAAATGAATCTTTTCTAATAAGTTTAAATCGATTTTTACCTTTTATGGGCATTTTTACCTTTATAAAGCCATTTTTTTTCTAAAAGTGTTCATCCTTTGAGCCAAATTCTTACATTTAATCAGTGAATTAGAATAATAAGACATTTTGGCTGTTACCAAGCAAATTAAATCAGTATCAACAAAATTCATCTTTGCAATGCGGAGGAAACACAGAAGCTGCATCTTAAGTGGTATTTAGATGCATTTACACACTGTTTAATGCAGGACATGAATGCATTTAACCTGCAGTTACAAATGCAGAAATAATGTTTTGATATATAAGACATAAAATGTTGAATAATCATATTTGAAATGATAAACAACAACAACAACAACAAACAAAACAAAAGACATTTTAAATGTGAAATTAAAACCACCAGTAGGTGGCATCAAGTCGCTGTTAATAAGTGAGTGATTGCGATTGAACCGAATCATTTAAACAGTTGATTCATTCAAGAACAAAATGGTGCTCAGAGGCGCAAAACTGTGCTGTGGTAGCTGTGTTTGGAATTATTTTTTGCTGTCGAAATAGAGCAAAAACAGGCAATATGGTGTCTAAAACGTAAGTCTCTTAATTAACTTCTTGTTTATTAAACAGCTGTAAAAAAAAATCTATAATCGTGCTGATTTTTGGAGAAAAAAATGGCACTCTTCATGTGATATTGATTAATATATGAAATGATAGAAATATATACATTTTCTGTCCCTATCTTCAATTTCGTGAGCATTCTAAATGCATTTTAATAGACTGAATCACGCAGTGAAAGAACGCACTCTAAATGCGCAGAGATGGTCCTCACTGCAGAACACAAGATCCAGATCCAACTCCTACCACCTTACATATACCTAAACCTACCTGTCTCCACCCCCTGATCCCTAAGCCCACCCATCTCCACCCCTAAACCTACCAATCTCCACCCCTTAGATGTGGATCCAACCACGCCCCCTGGATCTTGTGTTCTGCAGTGAGGGGCTACTGAATGCGCACGCGCACTAGTCTAAATCTACTAGACTTCACAGCACTCTGTAGGAGTGCTTTTTTTCTTTCTTTTTTTTTTGCAAAATACTCGATAATGTCAGATATCGCACATCGTTAAAACAGCAATTACGGTATTATCGCAGACGAGTCCTGCACCACTGCCTTTTTGGCTAATTTGTGCAAAACCTCTTGCTAAACTGTCAAAGCTTCATTTTAACCACCAATGCAACAATACAAGTATTTACCTTACCTCTACATGCTTGCGAAGGTTTGATGTCTAGATTTTATAAGCTGCTAGTTTGGTCTCCCTAGGCATACACAGCTTACACTGCATAATAGAGCTTAAATATGGCCAGGGGTTCACTTCATTCTCTTCGAGTTCAACCTCAGCAGAATACGACGTGGTTTCATTTTCAGCTGGGTCTGCACCACTAACGTCTTGTTCGTCTCCATCTTTCTTGTGATTTTAGTGCTAGTTTCTTCTCCTGCCCATTATTTACTGAACTAGTTTCAATGTAATTATTTACTTTCCACCTCTGTGTTTCTCTAAATGCTTTATGAAGCATTACAAAACACTTTTGCAACAGTAACACTACTCATCCTTCTCTGTAGTAAAACCCAGAGTCAGATTCATGAATAAGACCCTCACAGACTCTCAAGGGCTTCAGATCAGCTGTCTGGCCACTGGTTTTTACCCCCGTCACATTAACCTGATCCTGTTCAGAAATGGTCAGCTTGTGGATGATGATCAGATCACAGGAGGAGAGATTCTGCCCAACGGAGACGGAACTTACCAGATGAGGAAGAGTTTGGTAATCAGTGAAGAAGAACTATGTGAGGAACATAAATACAACTGCACAATGAAGCACCTCAATTTGGAAAACAAACTGGACATCACATATGGTAAAGAAAAAAAAAAAAAAAAATGCCACAATAGATTTAATAACAAAAAAAAATATCTTCATATCTCTGTAACTTACTGTTATCACTTTTTTTTTAACTCACCATTTTCAGATGTGGCTGAATGTGACCCAGGATCTTTCAGTCAGTCTGTAGTTTTCAGTGTGCTGGTGTTCATGTGTGTGGCTGTTCTCATAATAATTGCAGTCATCGTATGGAGGAAGAGACGAGCTGCTGGTAAATGTTCTGTTCAGTCCAGTTCATTACATCTAATGCTCAATTAGATGAAAATTAATTGCATGCAGTTTTGTAGTGTTACTTTGTATCTATCATGGTTTTACTATCTTATTTTTATTCAGGACAGGGAACTGGGACATCACAGAGTAAATACTCCCCTTACTCCATGTGAGTAAATTGTTTTGTAAAGTAATATGAATTCAACAACATGTTCTTTTTATGGTTAATTTTGTGAACTTTCTAGAAATGACAACCAAAGTATTTTTTTCTTCATTTCAGCTTCGATGCGCGATAAAACATGAAAAGTGCTTGTTGGATGCTATTTGAATTGTGCTACGATGGCCTTCAAATGACATAAAAAAAATACAAAGACAAAGGAACATATGTAGGTAAATGTATGCAGTATGCAACATAAAACTTGGCATATGTGGCCTGAAATCATAATATTGTTTATGAACAATATCTCCTGCTGTATTATTCTATTTCTGGGCAGTTGTGGCCTAATGGTTAGAGAGTTGGACTTGGACTAATCCGAAGGTTGTAGGTTAGAGTCTCAGTACCGGCAGGAAAGGTGGGGGACTGATTGTACAGCACTCTCCTCAGCGCTCTTCAGTGCTTTTCATACCCACAACTGAGCAAGGCACCTAAACCGCAATTGCACACCGGGCCCTGCAGCACTGCTCGGGGTGTGTGTTTAAAACTCTTTGTGTGTCCACTTGGATGGGTGAAATGCAGAGCATAAATTCCAAGTATGGGAAATTCCAAGTCACGTCACTTTAACTTTCTGTCATGGCAACTCTCTAGTTTGGTTTGTGCTGCAACTGCTATAGCAAACCCTAAATGTCAAGCAGCAAGCTCATTGGCATATGATGCTATAGAAACCAATCATGTGCGCCATGTAGAAAACTATGTGATTGCTATCAGTTATACAGTATGTACTATGTAACCTATCAATCTGTGCCATATTGAGTTTCAAGACAAAACTTTGTATTTCTGTTGAGACTTTGGCATGGTAACAGATTTTACAATGTTAATGTATTTGGTCTTGGCAGAACAGATCTGCTATGCTGCTGCTGCTGCTGCTGCAGAGCAAGGAGAGAGATACTGCCAATACGTACATGGACACACTTCTGTGTGCATTTAACATGCTGCTGCTAACTTGTTCCCCTGCTTCATGATCTCCGCTCCAAGTTTGTATATTTGTTGTATTATTGTGTGGTTGTCCTTTAAAAGTATCTGGGTTCTGAGAGTTGCAGATGAATGAGTTCTGTAGACATATTCCTGGTGTCCTGGTTATTCTTTGACATATGTTTCATTTCATTCCTTTCCATTCTGTTTACTTGTTTTTCCTGCTGTGTAAAATCTTCTTGTGTAATATGGTTATTGCCTTTAACAAATACAGTTATGGAAGAGTACCAAAACAGAATATGTATCTTTTCTATTTTCAGAAAATAGATCTACTAACAAATTATTCATAGTTTGGTAAGGTACATTAACATTAGCTCATGTAGTATATCAAGAATGAGCAATTATAGAATTAGAATGATTACTTTTACTTTTACAGCACTTACAGCTCATTTACTACACATGGTCAATGTAATTTCTATATACAGTATGCTAAAAGTTTTACAATTTTTATTTTGAACGTGAATGAACATGAAATTAACAATACTATATTTATAAATAATTATTATTAAATGCTGTAAAAATGTTGTTTATTGTTAGTTGATGATACTTAATGCATTAACTAATGTTAACAATTAAAACTTACTGTAAAGTGTAAGAAACAGGAAAAGCCACCTGTTTGATAAAAACAATAAATGTTTTGTATGAGGATACTGAACAGTTATCCCATTCTCTGATTCTTCCCTTATATGTTTAATGCAGCATATGTGAATCTGACTTTGCCTGTCTCTGCTTGATTTGGTTTCTGTCATGTGACCTTTTCCTATAAACAGAGTTGATGCCAGGCTGGCTCTGAATTCAGAATGGGTTGCAAGTGTTTGTTGGCTCCTTGTAAGAATTTGACAGGTTTGCACTGGTTCCCCCGGGATGCTGACAGAGCTAGATTGTGGCTGCAGGCGGTGGGTTGGCCATCAGCTCCTGACACATCAAGAATGTTTGTGTGTAACAAACTTTATTCACGGGAGAGCTTTTACAGACATGTGGACGTTGGCATTGCTCATGGAGGTAATCTCCGACGAGAAGACGCTGAACGAAGTCCCAAATATCTTTCCATCCCAGGGCAGCCAGTAAGTGTCTTAATAACCATGATCTTGTCTATCTTGCTGTCCTTTGTTATTTAATAATGAATAAAAATAAACAGTTATTATTAACAATGACATGATCAAAGACCTGTTCGGATAAACAAGGTGTTTTTTTTTTCTTTCAGTTTCACTTGAGCTGCTGGCTGGAAATACTGGAGTTTTGCCCAGTGACCGCAGCTGAAGGAGGAAGTCTAAATATGGTCACTGGTGAGATGAATTTATCATGACATCACAAAACAAGCAGCAGCCACGCTTCCGGGTTCTTCACACAGTCAGATTAGAAATGGCTATTCAGAGCAAATGCAATTAAAATCAAAGTTATAGTTATGTTAAGCCTATAATTGTAACAATTTTTGTTAAATAAAGGTTATTAGAACATGATACCTATGTTTTATAGTGAGGAAATGCACATTGTTTTTGAACTCCAAAAAAAAAAACTTTATTCAACAATTATATTTTGCTGGAAATGTAGCAGGTTGTTAATTAATTCTGGTGACATTAATATTTCAAATACAATTTATTGTGAATTTATTAATGTTTTCAATTTTTTTTAAATGGCTATATCTTAAAATGTGCCTTGTACATCAAGAAATAATCTTTTTGTGTTCAGAATTTTCATTACAATCAGCTGACATATCTTGATGAGGCCTTAATAAAGCTTTTCTTGTTTTTGATCGTTTTTGATCTGTCAGCTCTCCCATCATATTTATGAATGTACATATCATATTTTAACATATATTTCTAAATGAACTTAAATATGATGTTATACACAATCTTTTTCAACATTTGAATTTGAAAGACCTACCAACAGAATGAGTTGCTAGCACAAGCTGAAAATACCAGTCATCTGGTTTAACTGCACCACTGCTAATGCATGCTTTTGTTCTCTTTACTATTGCAACCTATTTTATGCTTCCTTGTACTGAGAAGCAACAGGAGTTCCTTGATTTTGAATGTATTGTGTTCCTTCTTTATGTTTCAGGCTATAAGTGTAGCTTGTCTGGTGTTTTCTCATGTTTATATCTTAATTGTTAACATCAATTAATCAAATCTTTTTGGAAAGCCTGTATAACAAATAAGCATATTCTCAATAAAACAGACTTAGAGATATTTAACTTAGTGGGGTTTTGTTTAGGGGTGGGCTTAGATAGGAACCTTCTATACAGGGGCAGTCGTGGCCTAATGGATAGAGAGTCGGACTTGTAACCCGAAGGTTGCGGGGTCGAGTCTCAGGTCTGGCAGGGATTGTACTGTAGGTGGGGGGAGTGAATGTACAGCACTCTCTTCCACCTTTAATACCATCTTGAGCAAGGCATCGAACCCCCAACTGCTACCCGGGAGCTGCAGCAATATGGCTGCCCACTGCTCCGGGTGTGTGTTCACTACTGTGTGTGTGTGTTCACTACTGTGTGTGTGCACTTGGATGGGTTAAATGCAGAGCACAAATTCCGTGTGGGTCACCATACTTGGCCACACATCCCTTCTTCTGTACAACCCATTTAGAGATATAGTCCCTCCCATTTGAAGCAGCCCCAAGAAAGACCCATGTAGGTTAAGAAAGTTTTAATATATTGTTGTGTCAGTTTGTTTTTTGACCACTAGATCAGAATCAGAATCAGAATGAGCTTTATTGCCAGGTATGTTTTCACATACGAGGAATTTGTTTTCATGACAGAAGCTTCCACAGTGTAACAGAATGACAGTGACAGAACAAAAAACACAGATAATAAAAAATAAAAATAAATAAAAAATAGAACAAGTAAATAAGGAATAAAAATATATAAATTGACAGTTGTATGTGCAGGTATATTACAATAGACAGTTTTGTATGTACAGGTATATTATGTGCAAATTTGAGGTGTAGACTGAGTATGTGTGTTAGATAAATAAGTGTATGAGTGTATAAATAGTGTGTGTTCCACAGTTATTGTTAAGTGTTCATGAGATGGATGGCCTGAGGGAAGAAACTGTTCCTGTGTCTGGTCGTTCTGGTGCTCAGTGCTCTGTAGCGTTGACCAGATGGCAACAGTTCAAAGAGTGAGTGTGCTGGATGTGAGGGGTCCATAGTGATTTTGCCAGCCCTTTTGCTCACTCTGGATGAGTACAGTTCTTGGAGAGAAGGGAGGGTTGTACCAATGATTCGCTCAGCAGTCCGGACTACCCTCTGTAGTCTTCTGAGGTCAGATTTGGATGACAGATGGTACTGCTTAAAACATAAGCAACATGAAATATAAAGGGTTGCATTTAACCACATACGTCAATGCATCAGATCTTTTGTAATAATAAAAATATCATGAATGTTGCGAAAATTTAAAAAATGTAATTAAAGTACACAAAATATTTCAATTAATATCTAATCTGGCATTTACAGAGTTTTATAAAAAAAAATGTACCTATGCCCACAACCAGTCCAGAAATGATTTTATTGAGCCTAAAATTTGTTTGCATTGCAGATTCATGATGTGAGACAAAAATTATGCTGCGTATTTGTGTGTTAGAGCACAGAGTAGGCTTACTGTGTATAATCATAATAATGCTTTACTATAGGCCTAATTATTATATATACCTAACTATCCATACTTATATTTATTATACTGTACATGTTATTTGTTTAACATATGTTACATCCAAATTCCCTTGCATAATTTGTATATTGCACATCTGTACATACAATATATTTTCTGTTGTCTTTTTGTCTATTGTGTATTGTTTTCACATTTTTTATCACTTTTATTTTGTTATCTATCTTGTCACTTGTCATCCCATCTGTGCAGTGGATGCTTCTGTCACCCAGACAAATTCTTGGCAATTAAGCTCTTTCTGATTCTGATTATTATTGTGCATAATCTGTTTTTCCATGCCAGCTGGATTCAAGAGGTTAGAGATGATGCTTTTTTTTTTTTTAAGAAATACTTTTGCCAGTGCTCTGGGGTGCGTTTCCCAAAAGCAACTATGGTCACAAGTTCCATCATTGCCAATAGAGGTTAATGGAACTAACAACCATAGATAGCTAACAATGATTTTGGGAAATACACCCCTGAGGTGATGGTTGCCAGAGAAAAATGGCTAAACTATGTAGGCCTATAGCTTTATTAAGCAAAAATGCAACCTTTCAGAATTAATAAACAGATTTAGCACAGCGTGCTAACTTTCAAGTGCTGATTGCTGAACAAATAAACCCCCTTAACTTATAATTCTAGACCAAATACTTGACCTATAGCGATAACTATATATATCAATATTGCTGCTCCCTATACACAGAGTCTGTGTAGAGCACCTAAGTGGGCACCATCTCATTTTCATGGGGACATCAGATGCAGTTTCATCCAAGGAGGCCACCCTTACATTAGTCTTGCGTAGTCAGACCTTCAGAATGACGGCAGAAGTTCTGGGAACCTTGGCCGCTTTGAATGGCCAAGGCCCGCCCAAGAGGCCATATGACTGACAGGTAAAGCAACCAATCGCATTTTGTTTTGAGCCATTTTGTTTTGTCAGGTTTAGAGGCATGGTAATGTCCCCACAATAGCAGACCAGTGTGTAAAACTCTTGGACATATTTAAAAATTCTGTGCCATGAACTTTAAATATTTCACACACTGAAAATTTTTTTTAATTCATCCAATTAAAAAATTTTAGGGTAATGATTCACATCTATATTTTTTTACTTGAGCCAATGAAAAATAAATAAATTGCCCTTAGGGCAATTTTTTTTTTTAATTGAATGAAATTTTTTTTTCAGTGCATACTTTTGAAAGTCTGAGGCTGAGACCACCCTTACATAGTCTGCCATGATCACATTAATCCATGATTTTCTTAAGTAATCTGCATTACAAAAATATGAAATTATTAAAGATAAAGAGACAAAATTATGATTAAAAATGAACAGCAATGAGATATTGAGCATATCTCACTTTTTTACCGAGACTGGAAAGACCGGTAAGACCAGCAAAGAATTCCAATCATTCGCTAAAGTCACTTCTTTAATTTGTAGTTGGAAGGCTGTAACACTCAACAACAAGATCATACCCTAAAGTGCGGGGATTCATTTACTGACAGAATGCAGTCTCTTGTGTGTCTTTTGTCATATTTGACAGCTGTTAAAGCAGGTAAGTCAGTTTACAGCTATTCTTGTGATCATGATCTGCA